CAGCTTAGCTGCGGCACCTTCCTCGCTAACACAAGGCTGCGGTAGCTCAAATCCAGTGCTACCTCTGCACGTGGAAGAGCCTGCACCAGCAGCACAATTGTTCGTTGCTCCTCGTTGTTTCACACAGCTCAATTGAAAGAGCTTAAATTGCCGGTCTGAAGAATACCTTCACAATAGTGCTTTAAATACATACTGCAATGCTTCCCCACTGATGGGGTAATAACCACAGCGAGACAGTTACAAACATCAGGATTCATGGGTCCATAACTAAACCAGTAATAGCATTCGTCTGCCAAGGTTTTGCAGGCATTTTTCTTTGTGTCAAACTCCAGACCGTGGGGTTGGGTTGGCAACACTCTGCAGCGTAGAATTAGCCCAAGATGTGGCAGTAATGAAAGGGAGAAATGCAGTCCTTAGGAAGCAGAAGAATCCTGTATTAAACCCAAACCCCTATGTGTCTTGCTCCCATTGTGCTCAGTACACATACTTTGGAGTGTTATTTTAAAATAAGTAATTTTAAAATGAACTACTCATAAATTATCAACCTACTTGCAAGCCTAGGAGAGGCTACAAACAGCAAAATCATCAACTGCTACCTTTTGTAGTACTGCTCAAGAAATCACATTAGTATATATTAGCATACAAGGCCTGAAAATAAATAGTAATCGAGATAGTAATCCCTATTAAGGAAAATCTTTTCAATCGACCTATCAGGTCAGGCACTCACTAGCTAGAGGATGAGACAGAGCAGGGAGTCTTTGGGACAATCCAAGCAGCTCTCCCTTGGTAAGGATTCCCATTTCCCAGCAGCGAGGAAGGAGGGAAGTTGTCTCTCTGACCAGTGCTCCTCTAAGGCACCTGTTTTGTCTGGCCTTTCTTCTTTTTTTTTTTTTTTTTAACCACTTGCTTTCAGATGTCTGATCTTTAATTTAACAAAGAGAAGAGAGTAAAGCCAACTGACAGAACAGACTATAAAATGCTTGAATTCTTCCACTTGCATGGGAAAGACGCACTATCTTAACTCACCTCTTTTTAAACCACATGAATTAAGCTCTGAGTGGATACACTGATTTTGGTGTTTGCTTTCATTTCCTACAAAGTTTATACCAAACTGGATTTGTTGTAAAATGGGTCATAAACTATAAACTAAGCTGGCATGGGTGTTACTAAATTTACTTAATACCGGGTTGAACTTCAAAAACTTTCCCATGAAGATGAACAAGCATTAATTTTGGAATGGAAATGAGGAGGAGCGAGGAAAGAAGACAGGGAGTACATATTTTTGCTATTGTGGATCAGCGGGGCAGCCAGGAACAGCTAAAGGAAGCTGCTATAAATCACGGTACCCCTGGGAATGGCCTCACTTGCGCCAGCCCTAAAACCCGGGAAGTACAATGAGCGTGGGAGCCGGCCATGCCCTGCTCCACCTGAGCTGCAGCCTCCAAGTTGGGCAGGTCAGAACAGCAGCCTCAGATACAACCTTAACGACAGAGCGGTGACCTCTGATCTAAACAGTTTTATGCCATGAACTGAAAATAGTTATTCCAGATATGTCAAACCTATTTAAGAGCATCTCTGCAGCCCAGATTTACCACACATTATGTGCAAGATCTTTGCAGCATTTTCCTGAGAATGTATAATGGTGGGGTTTGGCACACTTCCATACCTTGAAGTATGTATAAGCGCTTGGCCATGGTTTGAAATTGAGCTGCCTAGGAGCAATAGGGCCAAGACCTTTTTAGCTTTGCTTTATGCTATTAAAAGCACAAAAGAAATTAAATACAGCACACTGCACCAAGTAGCACAGCTTTGAGTTAAGCCAGCAGAAGCAAGAAAAAAGAGGATCAGATACCTGTGTCCTCAGTTTACCTATCTGTCCTAGTGCTATAGTGCATGTTGGACAGTAACTGGCTTGTTTCAGGCTCTTCTGTTGGACAGGAGAAAACATGGGGAGAAAGCAGTACTTAATTTCCCTCCAACATCTTTAATGGCTTAAGACCAAATCTAATTTTATTGTTTTCGATGTTCTCTCTCTCTTGGAAATCACACCAAAATCACAGGAATTTAGAGTATTACTGTATGTTAAAGAGTAAAGCTATCAGCATAAAGATATTAAGTTTTATACTGGCTACCCCCAAGATGCAGTTTGTATTCACTGCTCACAAACATGACAATGTGATGCATGACAACACAATTTTTCTAACAGTTCATTGTGCAATTAACAGAATCAGAAATCAATCTCTACTGTTGAGAAAAGCAAGCAAAAACCTGCTATTTAGACATTTTTACTGTGCCTGTCATTCTGCTATCCCAGTGCCTAAAATAGAAGTTAATGTGCAGCCCAGGCCTGCTCAGCACACCCAGGAACAGGGCCCTCTTGGGGCTCTGGCATTTTTATAAAACAGATGTGACCGTGGGAAATTTAACTGCTGAGGAAACCTACACCTCTTTTGCATGCGTATCATAGTGCAACTAGTCGATGCCATTTTCAAGTGGCTAAATCAGCCTCAGATCACTCCGACAGAGCAAATCCATGTGCAGTTACACTGGCAGGTGAGAAGTGGCAGCAGCCATCGGTGTTTAACATGATACAGGAGAGTTCAACGTACCCTTCAGTATTTGTACTGTATTCTGTTAAAGTAACGTTTTGTATGTGCCATTATCATATTTTTAAAATTGCTGATTTTTTATCACTTATGTAATTGAATAACCAGAAGGGCTATCAACATCCAAGAGCATCGGCTGGCAGTTGTATTCTTGTGAAGCCTGCAACGTGTGGACTGCAAATGATAAGGGTGTGCTCTAGAACTGGAGGAGAAACAGCTTTGCATGAAGAAATTTCTTTGGGAGAACTTATGATACAAAGTTTTTTATTTCTAAAGCACACGTGAATATGCCCAAATTATACAGGCTTTTAATTTTTTTTTTTTTTTACAAATTCTTTTTCTTTTACAAGAAATGTAATACGCAGCTTGTTGCATGACGAGCAATGAAGAGGTGTCATATGCCTGCGGTTTCAGTCTCTCGCCTAATCTGTGCTACTACACCCTATAAGAAAGCATGTTACAAGCTTCAACTGCTCTGCACATAACACACAGCTGCATTTACCTCCTGATACCAGCAAGGCTCCTTCTAACAAGTCAATTCCAATGTAACAGTAATCCTCTGAGCACTGAAACTCTGTTCAAACCGTTCATCCTCAAAACCCAGAATTTCTGTTACAGAAGCCAGTATCTCTTGTAAATATTTTTTTTTTTAATTTTGCAAAAGGTAAAAATGCACTCATCATCCAGTTGGTATTGAGTAAAAGGGTTAAATTCCTCTTAAAAAATACTTCTGGGAACAGAAGCACTGACTTCCTCACTGGCAAAAAAATTATCTTTTCCCTTATGCTCTGCAGGTGAAACTTGAATAATTTTAGTCACATTAGGGGGTCTTCATCATTCTCAACAGCATTCCTGGGCATCTGGTAGTACCAGCTCACAAGAAAAACCCTCTGCAATACTCTTGTGCTAATACGAAAGGGACATGCTTTCCCAAGGAGCTAACTATCAGATCGCATTGGAGAGTGTGAGGAGGGGAGGCTTCTCTTTCTAAAAGCCAAGCTGTAACTTGCTGTACCCGAAACTGCTACAATTATCTTTTTAGCAACTACAGTGAAAAGTGATGGTGTTCTATTTCATTTAGATACTTTCTCTCCTACCATGCCCTCTTTGAAGGTCCAAGTATAAAGTGCATGACCAACACAGAATTAGACCCCAGTAATTTATTAAAAGTTATTTAAAACAGTAATCTAAAACCAAAATAAAACAAGAACACCCCCCCCCCCAACCACAAACCCAACAGATACTTGCTCTCTCGACAGGGCTTGCCTCTATTGAAGAGGGAGAGCCACTGACCCTGCATGCAAATACATCAGGCTGCCACAGACAACCTAGAGCACAGTCCTCAGGGTGAGACACCTTTTACCACAAATTCAATAAAACACAGCTCTGGTTAGTCCCTGCTCTCACGGACTAGTCAGATACGAGAACAACTCACATTTTACTGAATTCACAAGACCTGCACCAAACCTTTCCAACTACTCAAAAAGCCAAAGAATTCCAACATAAAATCAGAAAGCACTTCCAGCAATTTTTTTAAACACGTACAAGGCTCACTGTTACACATGAGCTATTAATCTGAAGATACCTTGCAGTCGGAAATCTTACTGAGATGCATCAAATGAAAGCAACATTATTTAAATGTAGCTTTACTGCAAATCTGAACACTGGATGCTCACAGCTAATGAGAATTTTTATGCATCCTTTAAACAAAAGTAAAACATGCAAAAGATTTAAAGAAATTAGCTAGCTATGCTACTATTTAACTTTCCTACAGATCAAGTGCTCCAGTTACTGTCACTTCATCTAAGACTAAATCACTCAATCTTCCAAGCTTACAATTTCATTTTCTAAAACCTAACAGAAGTGCCTCCCAAGCTGGGAACTTCCTTACAAATATTCTCTATCAAGGGACTATAATTTTGACCAACAGACACATAAATTTAAAGGCAATACTTCCATTTACCTAACTGTTAAGCAACATCCTAAGAGAAAGCATATAAAAATCACATATGGTTCTTTACCTTTACTTCAGAATGAAGTGATAACTCTATAAACCCGGCACTCAAAAAGCCAGTTCAAACTACATGCAGACATTAAGTTGAAAGCTTCAGCGTATTTTGAAGTTCATATAATTAATCTTTCACAGAGGCAGTGACCAGCTACGAAAAACAAACTGAATACACTTTACTATGTACATCAATCACTAATGACTACGCCTCCAACATGCAGACAAAATAGCAAACTTCGATATCAAAACGTTCCCTGTGCTTGTTCAATCTGCTGTACGCAATTTTTGTCTAGCAGTCACCGGCCGTAAACACTAAGTTTCCCATTTGTTAGCCTCAGCACATTAATCTCCTACCACCGTCCACAATTTAAGAAGCCGTTACATACCTGCAGTTAGGAGGAGGATCAAGGGTTATTTCAGCTAGCTCCTTCTGGATTCTGTTGGTGAAATGAGAACAGACACAAAGCATTTGAGATAGTCTATAGAATAAATCAGGGAATTACACTGCCCTCTACCACCATGCAGTTAAATGCAAGATTGGCTTTGCCTTCAGTAATGCTAACATGGCTGCTTCCTCTTTGTTCTCAGAGGCATAACCCAAATCCCACAGCTGAGAAACTTTGCAGCTTTTTTCCTGCTCCACACTGTATGTAAACAGAACACTTACAACTGAGTTGGGTAGAAATTTCCCACGAGTATTCAGAAAAGTAACTCTTTTTCACATCCGAGCACTTTTTACCAGAGAGATTTTCTTTGCAAGCTAATATGCAAATGAGGCAAGGGGCGGGGGGGCCTGCACAGGCAGATTTGACAATGACTTTAAACCAGCGCTACAGACCTGTGACTGAGGCTGAAGAAGTGAACCGCGCTGGCAGCAGACACGCTCTTTTCACAGTATTTTACCTACTACTTTGCAGTGTGTTTAAAAAGTGGATTTGCAGATCTGCCAGGCTGTCTCTGTTACTGGAATAATCTCTCTGGATCAACTTTGCTTCTCTCCACACCTTCTGCTGCCTTTCCTCCCCCAACCTTATCCAGTAGCTGTATTTACATGATAAAAAGTGATATAATAATTTGAAATAACCTGTGCTCAGCTTTACTCTATTACAACCATTCCCAAGGTGTTAAGATCCGGAAGAGGAATACCGAAAACTTTTTGTCAATTTAATAGCTTATTCAGGTATATAAGAGGTGTAGTTTCAAAAGACGTGTGGTAAATTCCTCTTAAAAATATCAAATAAGACTTCTCTTCAGAAGAGGACACATACGAGCAAGATCGTGAATTTCACGTGAATAGCAAGTGTGAAAATATCTAGTATCAATAAATTCAGTCAGACTACTGAACTATTTGAGATGTATGGAATTAGACTTGCAACAATTAAGTGAAATAAAGGCAAGAAGGGAAAACTCAGTCTCGAAAGCCTGCATCTCAGGCTTTTCAAAAAAGGCAAGTAATAACAAATTACAAAGCCTGCATCGTAGTTCCAGAACTTTTCTTTCTTTAGCCAGTCCTGTTTCAAAGGGTTTCTTTAACAAGCTCAAAAGTCATCAAAGCCACCCAGTCATACTCTGCAGCAATTTTAACACATTTCAAAAAGTACTTACTGAATTTAAGTCCAATACAAAATTACTAAAGTGTTCCTAAAAGTTAGAACTACAGTATTCACGCTGAATAAGCAAAACTTGAGACTACTACGGCTACTCTGCAGTTTTCCTTGCTACAGGATATTTGTAAGTGTTTGTAAAGAAAAGCAACTCCAGGGAAAGGACTGGAAAGTTATGCTGCACCTCCGAAGATCACCGGAATCAAGGGATTTAAAGTTTGCTTATTTCACACAGCTGAACTTACAGAAAATTATTATAGTGCATGTCTTGAGAGCTGGACTGACAGTAACCTTATATGCAAATAAAAATGCAACCGATATAACTAAAGAAGGTTTCTGAAGATTTTGATATTTAAAGGTAGAAGCTACCTGTAGAACCCAATGGTTTGAATCTGCAGATCCTCAGGGAGAAAACTCACCTAAGTTTCTCCTGAAAGAACTGCAGAACGAACCCATTACTTCAAGGCGTGTAAGGCTCTCCCATGCATTGACATGAAAAGCTAGTCATAAGGCCCACAGAAGCCACTAGGGTTTTGTGACTTCTTTAATTAAAGACCATTGCTTGTCATCAGTCTACAGACCATAATAAAATACACCAGGAGGACTCCACCCCATACCAATCAGGCACGGAAACCTAACTTTTAAAAAGACAGCCAAAGCTGACACTCTTGCGCGCATTTTTGCAAACACGAAACATATTTAGGTGCCCCCCCAGCCAGCCTGTAAGCTACCAGGTTCTCAAACAACCCTTCAAAAGATGTATGACAAGTCTGTGTAATTATTACCCCAATATAAAGACTTGAAAAGTGCAATGCAACTACTGCGACTCAAAATACTGTGCAAAAATACTACAGAATGTTTCGCTGTCCCCTTTACCTTTTAGCACTAGTAGATAGCTTAGCAGTAGTTTTGCTGGATAGTTTGGTGTTCTTCTTCTGCTGGGTGGCCGAGGGCTTTCGTTCTTCTTGCTCTTCGGGTTCAGGCGCAGGTGGATCCCTCTGATCGGCATCTGAACTACCGCTGCTGGTACTCGGACTTTCATCGTCTGACCTCTGCCTATCACTGGACATCGTGGGGAACTTTTTTGGGGAAGGAGAAGAAAAGAGGCAGAGTTAACACAACAGGCAGGACTCTCTCTTGCCATTCCCCAAGTTCCAGAGAACGCTCGAATCGGTGACAACTCCGTTTCACTGAGAAATTAACCAAAATGTACTTCTTTGTCTCGTCCCCAAGGGCTACAGTTTGACAGCTGCAAAGCAATATTTACACTTCTGAAAATACAGATATTTCCAATTTTTAAACCCACTCGCATTTTTTTCATACTTTAAACAATATGCCAATTGTCGACTTTGTTCTAAGGCATGAGACAGATTTAGCAGGGTACTTAGGCAATGAACATTAATAACTTATGACACATTGTAAATAACAGACCTCACTGAAAATGTTTTTTAAAAAGTCACTAATGCCCTGTAAATATTTACACTGGAGCAGAGCATTTTATTGGGTCCAAACGCCAGATCCCCCCTCTCCCCCTCCGAGAAAATACATTGCCAATAACACTTGGGTTGATTTCAGATGGAAATGTACACTTGCTCTGTGCATTTAAAATGCTGGGCTGGGGAGGG